AAAGGTGGCGTGGCACCTGCCAAATGAATTAAATTTTTTAAATTCGTTTATCTGATAAATTATTTGAGATAGAATCTTAAAATTTAGGATAAAAATGGGCGGACTTTCATAAGGGGGTCTTGTTACCTCCCATACGGAATGAATATAATACCAATTTGAACATTTGGGGCGGACTTTTATTAGGGAGGCTTGTCACCCCCCATATGAATTAAGTACAAAAATTCGTGTATCTGTGAAAATATTAGAGCTTCAACAAGTAAGAGTATTATCTTCGACTATGCCGAATCTTATATACCCACCATTGATATTTGAAATAGGGCTTAAGTAAATTATGGCCACATCCCTTTCGGATTAACAAAATATTAAAAACAAAAACTAAATATTTTTGTCCAAATTTTAAACCATGATCATATATGGGCGGTAGGGTCAATTATAAAATTCGGTAGAGAGATTTTTGCTTGTAAGAAACTTATTTCTGTATATCGAATTTCATAGCTAATGTGCGTTAAAGTCATTTTCTGAAGGAGGCCATGTACATATGGGAAGTAGGATCAATTATGGACCTAACCTCATAAAATTCGGTAGATAGATTTTTGCTCGTAAGAAACTTACTTATTTTGAAGCCAGTAGTGAGCGTTAAAGTCATTTTCTAAGGGGGACCTTATATGGGGGGTGGGATAAGTTATGGACCGATCCTCATAAAATTCGGTAGATAGATTTTTGCTCGTAAGAAACTTACTAATATCGAATTTCAGCGCTAGCGCTCGTATTTTTAAGTCAGTAATGGGCGTTAAAGTAGTTTTTTGGAATGGACCATATATGAGGGGAAGGATCGATTATGAACCGATCCTCATAAAATTTGGTTGAGAGAATTTGGATCATATAAATCTTATTTATGTCAAACTTAATCGCTATACTCGCATTTTTAAAACAGTTATGACTGTTAAAGCTGTTTTTTGGGGGATATTGCCCATTTTCAATAACAATTTATACTGACTTTAGGGTAGCAAAGTATACTGGATATAGCTAGTTTTCTATAAAAAGAAAAAATTTTTAAAATTTTCTTAAAAAAAAAAAATTAAATTTTTTTTTATAAAGAGCAAAAATTTTGAGAATTTTCCATAAAAAGCAATTACTTTATAAATTTTTTTTTTTTAAGGAAAAAAATTTCAAAAGTTTTGAATATATTCTTTAAATAGAGAACATTTTCTTTTGTAAGTTCTATTTGAATTTTCAAGTACCATTATAAACATACATATACAATGTATATTATACATACATATGTACATACATATGTATGTATGTATATGGAAATAACATAATTGTCTTTAGTAGTTAGGTTTTGTCTTGAGAACATGTTTATACATGTCCTAGCTTTTGTTTTTTTTTTTTTGCATGTAATCACAAAAATAATTTTGCTTATGATGATTGAGCATCATATGAAAGAGAGAAGGAGAGAAGGAGAGAACGAGAATATTTTTAAAAAACGAGTTGTTTATTTTCTTGAGTAACAATTTAATTACAATTGGGACAGCAGGCGACAAATAACCATAGGGTTTATATCAATTTAATTAAAAATAAAACTCAATTTGTTAAATTTTTTTGTTTAAATTTTTATTAAAATTTTTGTGCCAGCACTTTGGTGGTTTAATTTCTTTTTCCATTTAAATTAACTTTACTTTTTTTTGTCATTACTTCTTTTTTTCTTCATTAGTTTCTGCTCTACACATGTACTCTAGTAGACAAACTTGACATTTAAGGGATTTTCTTTACTTTTAATAGTTTAATTTAAATAAAAATTGAATTATTTTTTTGATACAATTAATTAATATTATTTTGTAAACATTTATATAAATTACAATTATTTTAATAGCTTAATAACTAGTTTTACAATAAGACACAATTTTCATTTAAGACACTTTTTAGTTTACTTTTAAGGTTTTTTTTAAGGAATTTTTCAATACTTTACAAACTATTAAGTTTAATTTATTTTTTTTAAGATTGATTTTTTTTTTTGTTTTGCTTAAAAAGGAAACGTATACACAATAAAATTTAAAATAAAAATAAAATAGTTAATAGTTTTAGGATATTGATTAAAATAGGGCTAAGTTAGGGATAAAAGTTTTATATTCTTTTTTGTTGCAAGATGTACTGGGTTGAGGGGGATAATAAATTAATTTTTAAAAAAATATACACAAGAAATAAAAACAAATAAAAAAACAAATTTAAAATTTATTTTAAAATTATAGGTAATTATGGCAAATATTTTTCTGATAACAAAAAAATTTTTATAAAACAAAACAATTTACTTTTTTTAAATTTTATTTTAATAATATTTTAGTTTTATTTCTTTAATTTGTTGTTGTTTTTTTATAACTAGTTTTTTATAATAGTAATTTTCTTTTTTTAAACTAACATAACTAAAGTCCTTTGGATTGTTTGATAATAATGAACATCATTAGTGTGTTTTTTGTATTTTTTTTTTTTTAATTTTATATAATTTTAGGTTTGTTGTGTTTTTCTTTTATTAAATTATAGTTTTAGTTGTTTGTTGGTGTTTTTTCTTCTATTTCTATTTATTTTTCGGTAAATGCCTTTTCATATGCAAAGCCAAATGATCACTTCTGGCAAAACTTCTTTCGCATACAATACACTTAAAGGGTTTTGCTCCTGTGTGTTTGCGATAATGACGCGTTAACTCATCAGAACGTGCAAATCGCCACTCACATTCGGGCCATTGACAGGTATAGGGTTTTTCACCTGGAATAGGAAAAAAGAGTACAAATGCAAAATATTAGTATTTTTATAACAGAAAATAAGTTAACTTTAGTAAAACGAATATGTTGCTTAAGTATTTAAACCAGACTATAGACTAGACTATAGATTAAAGCACATTCTAGACTATAAATTATAATATAGATTAGAATATCGACAATACTGTAGGCTTGACTATAGACTAGATTATAGCCTAGACTATAGACTAGACTATAGACTAGACTAGACTATAGACTAGACTATAGAATAGACTTTAGACTAGACTATAGACTAGACTATAGACTAGACTATAGACTAGACTATAGAATAGACTTTAGACTAGACTATAGACTAGACTATAGACTAGACTATAGACTAGACTATAGACTAGACTATAGACTAGACTATAGACTAGACTATAGACTAGACTATAGACTAAACTATAGACTAGACTATAGACTAGACTATAGACTAGACTATAGACTAGACTATAGACTAGACTATAAACTAGACTATAGACTAGACTATAGACTAGACTATAGACTAGACTATAGACTAGACTATAGACTAGACTATAGACTAGACTATAGACTAGACTATAGACTAGACTAGACTATAGAATAGAATAGGCTAGACTATATACTAGACTAGACTAAACTATAGACTAGACTACTATAGACTAGACTATAGACTAGACTATAGACTAGACTATAGACTAGACTATAGACTAGACTATAGACTAGACTATAGACTAGACTATAGACTAGACTATAGACTAGACTATAGACTAGACAATAGACTAGACTATAGACTAGACTATAGACTAGACTATAGACAAGACTATAGACAAGACTATAGAATAGACTATAGACTAGACTATAGACTGGACTATAGACTGGACTATAGACTAGACTATAGACTAGACTATAGACTAGACTATAGACTAGACTATAGAATAGACTATAGACTAGACGATATACTAGACTATAGACTAGACTATAGACTAGACTATAGAATAGACTATAGACTAGACGATATACTAGACTATAGACTAGACTATAGACTAGACTATAGACTAGACTATAGACTGGACTATAGACTGGACTATAGACTAGACTATAGACTAAACTATAGACTAGACTATAGACTAGACTATAGACTAGACTATAGAACAGACTATAGACTAGACTATAGACTAAACTATAGACTAGACAATAGACTAGACTATAGACTAGACTATAGAATAGACTATAGACTAGACGATATACTAGACTATAGACTAGACTGTAGACTAGACTGTAGACTAGACTATAGACCAGACTATAGACTGGACTATAGACTAGACTATAGACTAGACTATAGACTAGACTACAGACTAGACTATAGACTAGACTATAGACTAGACTATAAACTAGACTATAGACTAGACTATAGACTAGACTATAGACTAGACTATAGACTAGACTATAGACTAGACTATAGACTAAACTATAGACTAGACTATAGACTAGACTATAGACTAGACTATAGACTAGACTATAGACTAGACTATAGACTAGACTATAGACTAGACTATAGACTAGACTATAGATTAGACTATAGACTAGACTATAGACTAGACTATAGACTAGACTATAGACTAGACTATAGACTAGACTATAGACTAGACTATAGACTAGACTATAGACTAGACTATAGACTAGACTATAGACTAGACTATAGACTAGACTATAGACTAGACTATAGACTAGACTATAGACTAGACTATAGACTAGACTAGACTAGACTATAGACTAGACTATAGACTAGACTATAGACTAGACTATAGACTAGACTATAGACTAGACTATAGACTAGACTATAGACTAGACTATAGACTAGACTATAGACTAGACGATATACTAGACTATAGACTAGACTATAGACTAGACGATATACTAGACAATAGACTAGACTATAGACTAGACTATAGACTTGACTATAGACTATAGACTAGACTATAGACTAGACTATAGACTAGATTATAGACTAGACTATAGACTAGACTATAGACCAGACTATAGACTAGACTATAGACTAAACTATAGACTAGACTATAGACTAGACTATAGACTAGACTATAGACTGGACTATAGTCCAGACTAGACTATAGACTATAGACTAGACTATAGACTACACTATAGACTAGACTATAGACTAGACTATAGACTAGACTATAAACTAGACTATAGACTAGACTATAGATTAGACTATATACTAGACTATAAACTAGACTATAGACTGGACTATACCCTAGATTATAGACGTGACAAATTATAAAAAAACAGCAAATTGTTGTTGCCGTAAACAAATTTTATATAAAATTTCTCTTAAAACTAAATTTCTATACTTTAAGTCTCATCACTCCTCATTAAAGATTGATTTAAATCTTTCATCACTCTTAATTTTATAACAACAAGCCAACATTTTTGTCACTAATTAGAAAAAAATCCACAAATCCTACAACAAAATTGCAATTTTTTCCAAAAACTAAAAAATGACCACAGAGTATGTGGCTTAAGTCTTTTGTTTTTTCTCCTTAAACAAATATCGAATCTCATTGCATAATATTAAAATTCCTCTACCACCAACTAAAATTGCTATCAAATCTTTGACATCACCTTAATTTCCTTTATTATAAGAAATAAAAATTTCCAATTCAAAAAACTAAACCACTAACCAGAGAGTTAAGTCTCTTTATGCTAGACTCCAGGCAATTGGTTTTGATTACTATTGTCATAATAGTTAACGATGCAAATCAAAACAAATCAAAGCAATCATCACAACTGCCAGGAAAATGTCAAAAATCTACTATTTTTTCCAGCCGCCAACTAAATACAATAAACAGCCAATCATCAGTAAAAACCAAAAAATAAAATCTTTTCAAAGACACACTGCACAACCTACTAACATCAAATCAATGAGCCATATCAGACAAGAACTCAACTCTATTAATGTATTTTTTTCTATATTTTTCCTTCATCTACTTATTACAAAAAAAAAAAAAAAAAAGAAAACCTTAAAATCGCTAAAAAAAGAGCTTTTAAATGACGTCTCTTAGAAATATTTTGCCACATTTTGTACCCAGTTAAGAGCGAAAAATGTACCATAATTGCTTTTAACAAGACAATGTAATGCATTGATTAAATCCCCAAACAAGAAGTTTGGCTATAAAGCCACACTACACATATGAACAAAGTTAAACTTAAAATTTGGCAACAGATTTTTTGATTGAAGCTAATATGCCGCCTACACACTTATATTGCGCTTATATGTGTTCACATAAAGTCTACTAAATGCTGGGGAAAAACTCTTTATAATAATATTATAACAAAAAACCCAACGAAAAAATTTAGTCAGAAAGAAATATTGGGCGTTAGGGAATCTTAGATACCCAACATCAAAAATAAAACTGTAGAATAGACTAGACTAGACAACACAAGACTATACATATAACTAACTATAGATTAGACTATGGACTTAACTATAAACTTGACTTTAGACTAGACAATAGACTAGACTATACCATAGACTATGGACTAGATTATAGATTTGAACAGACTAGGCTATAAACTAGCATACAGACAAGACTGTAGACTCGACTATGTAATAGACTATAGACTAAACTATAGACTAGACTATAGACTAGACTATAGACTAGACTATAGACTAGACTATAGACTAGACTATAGACTAGACTATAGACTAGACTATAGACTAGACTATAGACTAGACTATAGACTAGACTATAGACTAGACTATAGACTAGACTATAGACTAGACTATAGACTAGACTATAGACTAGACTATAGACTAGACTATAGACTAGACTATAGACTAGACTATAGACTAGACTATAGACTAGACTATAGACTAGACTATAGACTAGACTATAGACTAGACTATAGACTAGACTATAGACTAGACTATAGACTAGACTATAGACTAGACTATAGACTAGACTATAGACTAGACTATAGACTAGACTATAGACTAGACTATAGACTAGACTATAGACTAGACTATAGACTAGACTATAGACTAGACTATAGACTAGACTATAGACTAGACTATAGACTAGACTATAGACTAGACTATAGACTAGACTATAGACTAGACTATAGACTAGACTATAGACTAGACTATAGACTAGACTATAGACTAGACTATAGACTAGACTATAGACTAGACTATAGACTAGACTATAGACTAGACTATAGACTAGACTATAGACTAGACTATAGACTAGACTATAGACTAGACTATAGACTAGACTATAGACTAGACTATAGACTAGACTATAGACTAGACTATAGACTAGACTATAGACTAGACTATAGACTAGACTATAGACTAGACTATAGACTAGACTATAGACTAGACTATAGACTAGACTATAGACTAGACTATAGACTAGACTATAGACTAGACTATAGACTAGACTATATACTAGACTATAGACTAGACTATAGACTAGACTATAGACTAGACTATAGACTAGACTAGACTATAGACTAGACTAGACTATAGACTAGACTAGACTATAGACTAGACTAGACTATAGACTAGACTAGACTAGACTATAGACTAGACTAGACTATAGACTAGACTAGACTATAGACTAGACTAGACTATAGACTAGACTATAGACTAGACTATAGACTAGACTATAGACTAGACTATAGACTAGACTATAGACTAGACTATAGACTAGACTATAGACTAGACTATAGACTAGACTATAGACTAGACTATAGACTAGACTATAGACTAGACTATAGACTAGACTATAGACTAGACTATAGACTAGACTATAGACTAGACTATAGACTAGACTATAGACTAGACTATAGACTAGACTATAGACTAGACTATAGACTAGACTATAGACTAGACTATAGACTAGACTATAGACTAGACTATAGACTAGACTATAGACTAGACTATAGACTAGACTATAGACTAGA